TAGCATATCAGCTAATATATTTTTAAGCAAGGCCATTTGATGAAATAAGAATAAGCTCATTCGAGTAGAAACTGTGCCATAATTTCAAAGTTTGCTTCTCAATTAAAATACGTAAACTCCAAACAAACCAGAACGAAATAAGAAATAATTACTCATACATAAAGTGGTAAATTTTCGTTAATCTTTATAAAAAATATAAATTATGGGAGAAAAAGGATCATTTTGATGTCATTTTCGGTCATTAAAAATCATAATTGAATTATCTAAAGCTAGTACAAACAAAAACACGAACAATGAGTAACTAGCTCACTTCTCGCTTGGTGCCTCGATCGGGCGAGTCTACACTGCTTTTAGGCTGGACCAATGAGCCAAAGCGAATGGTTGATAGTCCGAGGGAGGGCTGGCTGACCTGTCGCAACAGGTTCGTTTGACTGGAAATTGATTTGTTGCGTTGTGGTTGGCCGTTAGAGTAGGCTGCAGTCAGATAACCGCAGACATCGGCAGGAGCTGATTGATGAGGCCCTGGTGTGCAGGAATTTATAGGACCAACGGAGCTGGAACAACGGGAATCATAAGTTGATGTGGGGTGTCCTGAACGCCTAAATAAGGCGCTCTACGTATGCAAGAGACAATATGAATTAATGCAGGAGAATTAAATGTGCAGAGATAAATATATATCTAAATAAAATAAAAAGAAAATAAAAAATAAAAAGAATGCGAAAGAGAATACGTCCACCCTACGATTTTACTGTCATTTATCCCCAAATAAGATTTTCTCCCCACTCCCGACTAAGAGTGTTAAAGGCAGAGAAAGGGAGAGCAGTTGTGGTTATTGATAATGGTAGTTATGTAGAAAAGATGCAGGCACCAGATGATATAAGCTCAAGAATTACCTTGGAACAACAAGGAGCATGACCAGCATAAAAATCTGGTTTTCACTTTTACGCCCACGTGTCTCATAAACATAACATGCACACAACACACATGAAATGGGACTCAGTTATGTACATCAACATTGTAGGATCAAAAATATAAATGACTTAAGGGAGGATGCAGCTGTTAAGCGACATTTTGATCTGTCTCACGCTTCATCTGCTGCCATTTAACATATCATCCGCAGCCACTTTAATTTCCAACGAGCATGTAGGAAAAGCATGGAATATAGTGTGAGATGACTTTCCATTTCGAAAGAAAAGTTGGTTGAAAGGAATTCGTGATGTGGTCTTATCGGAAACAAGGGATTGCCACGTATTGTGCGAAGAAGTACTCGGCTCACCGTCCCACGACCCAATGAACCTGTACTAAGTTTTCGTCTGTATTGTGACAGACATAATCAGAGCAAGAATCCATACATTATCAAATAAAGCAAAAACGTACTATGTGACCAACACTGGATATCGAGGAATCTCTTGCTTCATAATTGTTGAGAATATTTCCATTTAGATTGAGTGTTTGGTGAAAAGATTCGAAGGTCAATCCTACCAGAAGATAATGTTGGATTTCTCCTGGCCAGCTGTTGATTGGCTTTACTGGAATATTCTTAGTGAAGCTGTTTCCAAGGTGATCTCCTTCGATTTCGGTAAAGACATACTAAGCTTTTGTCCGTCGCAAAACAGACATCATCAGAGCAAGATATCATGCTTACAAACATTGTGAGGCTAGCGAGTCAAGAAAACGCACCGGTTCATCCCTGAATGCTGTATATGTTAGCCTGACTATGGTTGTAAGGATGATATCCTGCTCTGATGATGTCTGTCTTGCGACGGACGAAAGCTTCGTATGTCTTCGCTGAAATCGAAGGAGATCATCTCGGAAACAGCTTCACCAAGAATGTTCCAATAAAGCCAATCGACAACTGGTCAAGAGGAAAGCGTCGTCGTCTTCTTGTGGGATCGACCTCCGAATCTCTTCACCAGACACTTTTATTTGAAATGGAAATAATCTCAACAAAAATATACTAAACTAAGAGAATAGGTGGCCGGCTGCAACCTTAGTAGCCTTTTTGTACACTCAGCATGGCGATCTTAATGAGGAATCAAATGACTTGTTTGGCAACTTCAAGCTTACTTTATATGCTTGCAGATTAGTAAAGTCGCTTCATGAACTGGAGGTGCGTTCAGTAGCAGTTGTTGCTTTAGACAAAAAATTGGCGTACGATCCTCTAATGTTAATTTATGTTTAGATTTTAGCTATTGTCTGCTACAATTTTTAAGTCACAGCTCCAAGGCAGCCCCCTTCAACTTCCAGTGAAACCAACTTATGAATCCCTCCACTAGCCTCTTAAGACAAAATGAAAAGTGCTCCAACATCTATTAAGGGATTTTTTGAAAACTATAATATATATAAGATATGACGACCAAGATGGTGTGGCCTTTTGTGTGGTCGCAGTCTCCTTTCGTTGTATAGAAGTTGTTTGACCTTGTT